CCCCCCTTTGGGGTGCCAGACCTTGGGTGTGAGGAGATATAAGTGTCGCAAACCCTGTATATGCGTGGTTTTTCTCCGAATGGAAGTGCCAGTAGTTGTTCGCCCTGAAATTTGTCTGACTCTATATGAAGTGTAATCCAAAATTATATTCCTGGGCGGTAGACGGCCTGCAAGACTATAATATTAATTAACCTTCTATAATGCACCCTGTTGCATGGCTCGGGGTCAGAAATTGATCCACAGTTTTTAATTGATGGCTAGCAGGAACTAATATGTCTGTTCTGGTCTTTTCATGAATACACGTGATAAATTACCAAATCCAAAACCTCTCTCTCCCCTCTTTATTATTTGGACCCCCACACCATTGGGGACTCCCAGCTACTCACAAGGCCCATCACATTTTACATCCACATCTGTTTTCTATAAGAAGGGGTGTGGGGCGTGAGAGCATTTATTACCCTGCACGAGATTTGAACTTTCTGTTACCGAATGAAGTAAAGCATTTCATGCAACCTGACACACCTACACCACATCTCAGTGGCAAATATTGAACTTGGTACACCTCACTTTTGTAAATGCACCCACACGACTGCGGGGATGTTTTGAACTTTTAGTCAAAGCTCCGTGAACAGCAGGCGGGGTAACGGTAAGACAACCGGGCTGTCGGGTCAGACAGGGACAGGCAGGGCCGCCGACAGGCGCTCCCTGTGACGGTGAGCGCTGGAGAGTCCGTCATGGAGGAGGAACAATCTGGCAGCGAGTGAGTGAGTGAGTGAGTGGACGGGTGAGAGTGAGCGGGCCGACGAGGTGAATCCCCTCAGCAGGGGTACAGATTAGGTGGAGTGAGGTGGGATGTGGAGCTAAACTGTGATACACTCACCACACCTCCAAGTTTTCTAGAGTCAAAGGAATTTTATCTCAAGGAAATCGTGCTGCATGAGCTTATTTAACGGTTATAAAACCCTCTTGGATCAGCTGCAAAATGCGTTTTTTTCTGAGCTTCTGAAAAGTGCACTAGAGGTTCTCACACGACAGCGAGGCTACAAACTCATGATAATCTAGTGTGCTCCGTTAACACGCAACATGCTCATACATACAGTAGTGATATTAATCCAAACACATTCTAAGAGTACAACAACCACCATTTTTCCTCTCAATGAACACTTTTGGTTCGATCCCCTGAAAAGACAGATGCACTTTTACTGATGTAAGGTTTTAAACGCAGGTCTTGTTCTTGTAGTGGTGTATTCTCCATGTCGTGTTACGGCCTTAATACTTTTTTCTTCGTTTCTGAGGATAATTTTAAGTAAACTATAGAGTCTTAACAGAGTCAATCGGCACATCTTGTTGGTTTTAGGCAACGATAGAAGGGTTAAGTGTCAAACTGAATATTCCTCTCTCCGTCACCCCTTTGTTCAGAAGCCACTCATATCCTTCTGCGTTGAAACAATAACCTAAGTGACGCTGTGCAGATGTGTCAGAACCTGTCCACATGTCCTCACACTTTAAACTCATGAACCTTTATGGCAAATTGCCCGACATTTATATGCGTGTTGTTTTAAACGTGGTTTCTTGTTGGATCACAGCGTTTCTCTCTGTGATTGCATTCAGCGTTCATTTCTTAGAACTTTACTTTTCCATCTGGGGGGTTTAAACCTTTGTTGGGGGGAAAAAAAGAGTCCACAAGAAAACCTCTCTCTCTCTTTCCCAATTCCCCAAAATATATATTTGTAAGTTCTGGGAAGCATTTTACTTTAATTGACTTTAACAGCCGCACATTCAGCTGAACCGTTGCAAATCTGTGTTATTGTGTTTAGCCGTCCAGCTGCAGTTACACCAGCAGTGCACACCTAAACAAATACACTTAATGGACTTTTCTCACAGCAAAACGTGCGCTGCAACAAAGTCCTCTTTCTTGAGATGAGAAAAAACCTGCAGGGTTACATCCGCTCGTTAACTATCTGCCAGGCATTTTATTACACCATCTATGAATCAGTTGTAGAATCGTGAAAATGAGCAGCAGTGCATCACGCTCTTAACATGACGGGAGAATTTGTCCTCACATTAATTGTCACATCGTCAGGTTTGTTACAAACGTTTAGTCACTGCCCCCCCCCCCCCCTACCCCCCAGCAGCCCCGTTGACAAGGGAGGTGCCAAACACCCTGAAAAATTCCCACTGCTGTCGACATCTTATCCAAGTTTGCGCAAGACCTTCACATGTAGGAAGTGAGTCATCTGCAATAGACTATAAAGGGAGAGCCTCTCCTCTCCAGCGCCAGATTCAAAGAGCCAAGGAGAGAAGAAGGAGAGCAGCAGAAGCCTTCAGCCGATTTCAGAAACCTCCATCTCTACTCATTTAGAGATTCAAGCTCCATCGGAACGGCTTTCTGGAATTCCTTCTCCTTCCTTGGTGTTATTTGTTGCAGCGTTTGAAAAAAAAAAAAAGAAAAAAAATGACAAGCAGTAAAGTCGTCGGCGCCGTCTTCGTGATGCTCGTGGCCTTTGTGGCTTTCAGTGAAGGTGAGACGCTTCCTTGATTCACTGGCTGAGCGCGACGGTGTCGCCGTGCACGTCCTCCCGCTCGCGGCGTTGCATTGTTGTGACCACGTGTGGCTCCTTGTCCCCTCGCAGGAATGAGTCTGAGAAGCCTGGGAGTGGAGCAGCACTGCCGCTGCATCCAGACGGAGAGCAAAATCATCCTCCGCTACATCGAGAAGGTGGAGCTGATCACGGCCAACTCCCACTGCGACGAGGCCGAGATCATGTAAGAGCTCATCGCGAAGGCCTTGGCCTCCGACACACTGACGCCGCGGGTATTAATCTGTCGTTGACACCTGTCGGCCGTCCCCCCCCAACACGTCCTGACTCTCTTTCTCGCTTGGTGTTGCAGTGCCACTCTGAAAAAGACCGGCCAACAGGTTTGCCTGAACCCCGAAGCTCCCTGGGTGAAGAAAGTGATCCAGAGGATCCTGGCCAAGTGAGTGCAGGTCAATCGCGACCCGGTGCGAGGAAGCGGTTTAGCCGAGCGATGCGGCCGGCAGCTTTTGGTGCACAAAGTAATCCTCTTCTCCTCTTGTCCTCTGCAGCAGAAGACGCTGAGCCGGCCGGCAGGGATGTGTTTCATGGGTCTGGGCCGTCGCAAAGGACATATGAAAAGTGCCAAGAAGTATTTATTGTCCCCTCCACTTTTTAGTGTTGGAGGAGGTGATCAAAGGGAACTATGTTTGTATCAAACACCTCGTTCATTCACAAGCCTCGGCTTGTTTGTTTGTGTCACTCTGTGAGGCCGCTTGGCTGCTCTAGTTTGTAACAACAACTTCTACAATACTGAAGTGTTATTATATATGCTATTTTAAATATTTATGTATCGTTAATGTATTATGTTATTAATTTTTTCAGCTGTGTAAATTGGCTGACAAACCAGTTCAAATAAAAAAAGGTTTACACGAAATTGTAACTTTTTGTTTGTTCTTTCTTTTTCGAAATATAGTATTACTAGTTGACTTCCCAGGCGCGCTCCATGTCCCTTGCTGGTTAATTGTCAATACAATTGTAATTGTTTTCTTTGAGCACTGGGAAAAAATATAATGAGATCCATGCAGAGAAACAACACACAGTCAATCTTTACCTAAAGCAAACAATGACAGTTTAGATTAACATTTATCACATAATGCTTCATGACGGTCATTATAATGCATTATTCAAATATTATATTGTTTTAATGCCATGGGAATTATATTGTGCGTCGCTGAAATACTGTGACTCGACCTTTTTATCCATTCTGAAATGGTTGATAATGGGTTATGAGTAGCTATTAGCATAATGGATATTTACAAGTGCACAATACTGTCAGCAGATGAAGCACAAACCTAAACATGCACACGGGGATTCAGGAACTGAAAGAAACGTGTCCCCAAAGGCGATGATTTTAATATTTAACAAGTCATACTGTAATAATGAAAATAATACACTACTTTTGATATTGTTAACACACTCAAAACACTTCTGTGGTGGTTTCTACAACAGTTGGGGACACAGGCACCGTATGTGCGATGAAACACACACACACACGTACACATGCAATACCACCGACACGCTGCCGTGGCTGGTGAAGTACACACGTGACAAAATATTTCCAACACACAAACAATGTTTTCAGTCATTCAGGTCAATCTTCTATTTTATCCAACTGACAGATTAGACAGGTTTATGACAGACTGTTCCTGTCATAACCTTTCTCAGACTTTGATCAAGGGTTACATGCATAAGTAGATGCATAAGATCGCATCTTAGTATATTTGATCCATCCTGCCCACTTTGACATGTATGTACTTCCTCTTAATCTTAGAAGCAAAGTCAATCTTTCCATGTCGTGGATTTCTTTTACAATTTCAGCCCAGTTTCCTACAGAAGGTGGGTCGGGTTGTAACCATTTACGGGTTATTGCTTTTTTGCTGGTAATGTTAGTATTTTTAGGTATCTGGTAGATTCCAGATTTTCCCAGAATACCTGTATCTCGGGACAGATCCAAAATATATGATGTAGGTTTGCTCTTCTTTCTTTTTGGCCCTGAGGGAGGATACTCAGGTTATCTGTCGAAGAATTACTATCTTAATTACTTTCTCATGGGAATTCTTGGACAGATAACCTGAGTATCCTCCCTCAGGGCCAAACCCCATGTTTGTTCTTGCAGGAGTTTGTGCAGCGGACGTCAATCACACATTCATTGAGCAGTTTAAGTGCACCAACAAATCCAGTCAGTAAACTCAGACGTTACCAGAAGTCACGTGCACCACGCCTTTGCAATTTTATGGTCAACTGGATGACGCTGGAACAGCAAAAACTGTTCGTCTGGCTCCAGGGTGACCGGACAGCTGGGTTGAATGACCCCACCGTAAGACCAGTGTACGGACAGAACTAGGAACAAGAAGACGGTTGGGATGGCACTGACTGGGCGTTACCTCATTAGCTTGAGTTGCAGTAACAATGGACTCAATATTAAATCGAGCCGCGCTTATGCACAATGAGGGGGGAGGATGGTGTCCGGTTCCTGAGGTCTCTCACGGGGGCTGAATCGCCGAGACAGCGCATTGGCCTTTGCATTCTTATGACGGTGAGAAAGGTTCAAATTAAATCGGGAGAAAAACGTGGCCCAGCGGGCTTGATGGGGATCGAGCCTCTTGGCTGTGCGGGTGTACTGCAAGTTCTTGTAGTCAGTCCAGGTGCGGTACAGAGGCGCCCTCCGGCCAATGTCTCCACTCCTCCAGCTTAAAAGCCAGCAATTCCCTACTGCCGACGTCATAATTCTGTTCAGAAGGCGTGAGGCGGTGTGAGTAGAAGGCACAGGGGTGGGTCTTCATTATCACCGGCTCAGCGTTGGGAGAGCACAGCTCCAACGGCAATGTCGGAGGCATCAACCTCCACAATGAACTGTCAGTTGGGGTGAAGCGTTGTTTTTGGCCCCCTGAAACGCTCCCTCTGCAGCGGATGAGGAGAGGGATTTAACAGCCGTGGAAGTCAGCGCTGTGAGGGGAGCCGCCGGTGAACCGTAATCCCGGATGAAGCGTCGATAAAGGAGCAGGTCCGGAGTCAATCAACGCCACCAACTCCAGTTGTTGGGCCCCCCACTTCAGGATGGCGGAAAGAGAAGTATGTTGTTTTCCGAGGACGGCACATGGGGGGGGTGTCACACTCACCAGTACCCTTCTTACTGGTGAGCGTTGGTTTTAACCAGGCAGGCAAAGATGAAGTGCCCTGGTTGGCCACAATACAGGCAGGAACGGGAGGCAAATCTTCTCTGCCGCGCAGCCTGGGTCAGACTGGGGCGATCCACCTGCATGGGCTCTGGTCCATGATCCTCAGGCGCCGAAAAGGTTGCTGGTTCGGTGACGAGGGTGACCATCGAGAATCTGCAGGATCCCTGGAAGCCTTCATGCATCGGCATTGTTGCATCCTCGTGTCAATTCTGAAGGCAAGGATGATCAGGGCATCGCAGGTGTGGGGTAGATCATGGGCAATCAGCTTGTCCTGGATTGCCTCCGACAGCCCGTTCAAGAAGGTATCAAAGAGTGCATCGGCGTTCCAGCCAGGGGACATTGCGACGGCCTAAAGTCGATGGGATATTCCGGAACGGCCCTCTGCCCCTGGCGCATATGTAAAAGTTCACGAGCAGCCTCATGCCCGTGTTTGGACCGATCGAAAACCCTTCTCATATCGTCCGAGAGGTCCTTGAAGTTGTTCCAGGAGGGCGACTGGGCATCCCAGAGGGCGGTTCCCCACTGTCTTGCTCGCCCGGACAGCTGAGCGATGACGTAAGCCACCTTTGAGCGCTCAGAAGGGAACGTGGTAGGTTGCAGTTAAAAAATGACGAGGTACTGAGAGAGAAAAGAACGGCATGTGCCAGGCTCACCCGCGTCTTTCTGAGGAGGACGCAGCTTAGGTTCATGGGCTGGTGCTGGAGGCTCGGGCGAGACGGAGTGAAGGCCTGTATCTGGGCCGTCAGGTCTCCGACGCTAGCGGGAACCGCTTCCAGCTGAGTCTAGTGTCGTTCTAGGACTCTGCCATGATGTTCGAGGGCGGCCCTCAGTCAACATGCAGGGTTCAGGCATAGATTCTTGTTGGGGGAAAATTGTTGAGCCTGCGTTGGGTGAGGCTCTCAGGAATGTGACCTTTGATGTGAGCCGGTGACTTAAGGCAGTCCAGGGTGAGATAAGACACAGATGGAACCATACGTGCCCTGACTGACCTTTTAGATGTTGTTGATTGACCGGGTCCATTAAGGGAGGGTCACCCCTACGTCGTCTGGTACTTTTCCCAAACACTCCTCTTTGAGGGGTGGGCTCTCCTGTGCTGAGGCAGCACCAACCTCCCTGAAGTGTATATAAGCTCCTGTTCTCTTCTTCAACTTGGTCAGATCTTCTTGCTCCTTTTGGGGGAAGGAACATCTGTCCCTTTTCAGCTGAATTGTAGTCACTTGACTTCTGTCTGTGCTTACGACTTGTGCTGATGATTTCTGTATTCTTTATCATTTTTCCATATTCTGGTTAGTAATAAATACTTAATCACAAAGCAAGCTCAAGATACTTTTGGTTTCTCACATGGGCTAAATCCCCAAATTTCCACCCCAATTCTCACACACTGAATTACAATCTGACAGGGGACTACAGAAAGGGGAAACTAACAAGACACAGGAGAAACAAATCAGGCCAACAATCAGGGGACAGGTGAGGGACAAAAAGGCTGGGAAGCAGCAGAGGACGTTGTCTCCGGACAATGACAGAAACACAGCACATTACCAAATAAACAAACTGGGGGACACGTGGCGTAACACAACACACACAGCGATCACAATGAAAAATCTCTCTTAGATTGCAGGGATCTTAACAGGTAGGCCTCATTACTACTAGAATTCATTATTATTATTATTTTGTAGGGTCACAAGGACCGATACAGGAGATCATTCCTGCCCAGTGCAATAATACTTTACAATAAATCATCCCAGGCTAAATAATAACCCTGTACTGCTGTGATATTGCTGCTCTTCCTCTTCTCCTTTTACAAATTTTTATTATTGTCTCTTTTGGAAGGTTATTCTTTTGTTTCAGTTTTATTTTATTTTATTTAATTTAATATTTCTATTTTATTATATTGTATATAATGTGTATCTTTTTATTCTATTTTCTTCCCTGTACATGCTGCTGTGATACCAAAATGTCCCTCTTGAGGGATCAATAAAGTATCTATCTATCTATTTATATAGGTTTAGTCCAAATGACATGGCTTTTTGGGTTACGGTTAGGGTCAGTTTTTTTTTTAAATTGAGTCCAAAGCGGAATAACCGAGATTACATCAACAGGCTTGTTCATTCACAGTTGACAAAGGTCTCTCCAGAGCCAGGGATTAGAGGTTAAAGTTAAGCTAAAGCTTTTTTTACTCTCAACATTCAATGCAATTCAATTCATTTTATTTTGTATAGCCCAAAATCGCAAATTACAAATTAGCCTCGGAGGGCTTTACAGTCTGTACACGTACAACATCCTCTGTCCCGAAACCCTCCATCGGCACAGGAAAAGGGACAAAAGGGAGGAAACCTTAGGGAGAACATCCACGTGCCTTATACCGAGATGACATTTCCACATAATAAGAAAATATTGATCGGGTAACAAATCAAAAACGATAGAATAAAGTGATGATTGACATTCACGTTATTTCACTAAACCTCAACACGTAGCAACGCCCGTTGATGTCCCTGGTGTTAAAATGGACACGACACAACACAATGCTCGTCATTCATATAATGGTATTCGTGTTATTATCGCCATGTGGCGTTCTTTGTTGCTCATTGGCCCGTGTGATGATGAGGTAGAGGGGCGGGACTTAGCGCACAGCCGGCGGTAGGCGCGCTAGTGCGGAGTCTTGATTGCGCGCGGGGCGACGACACTCCCAGCGCCGTAGGAC